CAAACATCTAAAAACTCTAATATATAAGAATATTAAAATGGGTTTGCTGACGATACTAACCTATAACATATATAAAAATTAAGTACTCCTTGAAAAAATAGTTAGATAGAAGGTTAAAGAATTTATACGTAGTTCTGTTTTAATTGATGATCGATTAATGACAACTGAAAATGCAGAGTTCGATATGCACCGTCTTTGAACACTATAGATGGGAAGATTCGAAAGGAAAGCAGGCTCAATATAATTGTTTGATTGAGGATATGTTGCTGTACCCTGAGACAATTTGGGAAGTCAGATTAGCACTTTAGCAGCAAGGTGGATAAAAAAAGAATGGTAGAGGCAAATGCAAGTTTAAGATATCATATACCATACCTTTAACAGAAATTATTATAAACAGCAAACTATAGCTGAAATGAGGTAAAAGGAAGATAACTTACGAAGACATTGCTGGCTAAACTGCTAATTAGATCAGAGGAATTTATGGCGAAGCTGGTGAAAATGTTACTAGTCAAAACTACAAAACAAGAACACTTAACATTAAATCTTGTTTGATCTTCATTCAAATACAAACAACTAAATTTAAATGCAAAATTAAAAATGAAAACACAGGTTCCGGAGAAGCATACTTTCTGCAAACGATTGATTATTCCCTGTAATAAATGAAGTTGCTGGACAAGATCCTGTTTTCCTGCGTGCCTTCTTTGGCAAGTCTGTAGATGTCAAAGAGTTACTTCTCACTGCACGAAACTCTGGAGCTGGTATCTGTAACAGCGGGGGCCATTCAGGTGGGCTAAGAATTGGACAAAATGTTGCTTGAGTAAGTGTTGAGTACTCTATCCCACAAACATTCCCACTACACCCACACCGGAAATTTGGCTTATCCAGTTGATTGTCAACCAAAATTTGCAAGGCAACAAAAAGTACACAGAGGAAAATTGGGAAGCAAATGAGCCTTATGTTTGTCCTCATGTTCCTTTTCTGCAGAAAAGATGATACTAGGCTTAGGTCAATCCATTTCATTTCTTTTTTTCATTCACCAAAACCCGAGAAGATAAAATTAGATATTCATTAAGATATAAACACAAACAGAAAACATATTACTCAGATTGAAAGCTATCTAAATAAATAAGAATCCAACTGATCCATTGTAATTCAAGTTCCAAGCAACCAAATCTATATATAAAAATAAATAAATAAATAAATAAATTCAATAAACAAATTAGAAAGAAAAATCAATGATAATAATTCAACCTGGAAAACCCATCATCACCAAAAGAAGGAAAACTCTCAATTTCCCTAATTACAAAGCAAAATCAAGGAAAATTATGATTTATTTTCCCAATTTCTAAGAAGTAAAACTAGAACTAAATAACGATTAATAACTCCAGGGCGAAATGAAAGGGCTAAATAGAGTGGGAGGGGGAGCGGACACCTGAAAAGTTAAATTCTTTCTGGAGAGAGCATTGGCCTGAGTCCAGAAGCTGGCCCGACCATGCGACGGATCCGCCATCATTATTGCCGGAAGCGAAGGATGTCAATCGCTGTCGAGCTTTCCCGCCAAGAAATGAACTTTTTTTTCCCCGTTTATTGAATTCGCTTACAGTTTTCTGTAATTGCAATGGAGAGAGCATCAGCAGTAGCGTTGGCTAATGGGTTACGGTTTTTGGACAGTTTAAAAAAGCGAACGAAGAGAACGGTTGGTTTGCATTGAATTACATATTTATCCTCACCTTTTTTCATTTATTTTCCGGGATGGCAGGGGTTCAACGGCACCGGACTTTTCTGCGCGGAAATTACGCCTGCTTAATTGAGTATTGTACCCTTTCACACGTTTTATGTATTTTTTTTTTCACCAAACCAGAGAGTACCGCCAATTTTCAAAAGAAAATCTATCTATTTTTTTTATGAGAAAAATGTTTACCGGTGTAACCATAGTTAAAAAATACTTAAAATTAATCATTTCAAAGAATTTATTGTCGTATAATTTAGACTATAAAAAAATTTTTAACTTAATAAATTTTTATTAAAAAAGAGGTAAACATACTAGTTTTTAAGGTAAAAATGAAATTATTTTAAGTTTTTTTAGTGATTTATTGAATCAATGTAATTTTTAATTTTTTTATATTTTTATAGATTTAACAGATATGTGCAGTAAGAAATTGTCAAAAAAGAATTAAAAGAAATCAAATTCATGCATTAGCAATTTTTGATAAACTGATAATATGCATTAAACACCTTGATCCATAT